AGATCTTGTACTTGAGTAAAAGTAGAAGTACTCAAATCTTGTACTTGAGTAAAAGTAGAAGTACTCAAATCTTGTACTTGAGTAAAAGTAGAAGTACTCAGATCTTGTACTTCTCAAGTAAAAGTACATTTAGTATTATCATCAAAATATAGTGAAAGTAGCGACAGTAAAAGTAGTCATTGTGCAGATTGTAAAGTACAACTATCTCAAAATTGTACTTAAGTACAGTACTTGGTTACTTCCCACCTCTGGCCTTGTTTACAGCTTTACCAGTCACCTCGGGTTAGCCATTGTTAGCAATACCGGTTTGATAACAACGCTTTAGTTTCTATTTTGTGATTAACAACATCGTAGCAACACATCCACATTTGAAGCTGCAATTGTGTTCTCCTGATTTAAGTGTTTTGGGCCTCCAACGTGTGTTTGCGTGGGTCAGCCACCATAGAAATTGAATAGGAAAATAAACATCCAAAAGAAAACTACAAATGGTATATTATCAAGTTGTTCTCTTCATGTTTATATGTGGAGATGATCTTGGGCGAAGTATCTCCAAGTTTCCCAGTAAGAAGTCAGACCTCAGGGGGCGAACTCAGATATTCCCACTAACCAGTACAACTGGACGCACCAAAATAACCAGTCTGCACAGTCAATGACAGTTAACCCCCCCCCCCGCCGCTTCTGAGTGGATCTCTTCAAACGAAACGGCTGCTTTCCAAAAACAGAAGTCTTTCCATCTGACTAATTTCCTGTTCTACCTTTGACCGTAGGAAGTCCCCGCAGGAAGTGGAAACAAACTAACCCAAAGTTGGATTGTTTGTCAGATTGTTTGCTTTTAGTGGTTTTCGTACGATGGAAAAAAAAGGGATTTAGAGCGACTGAATCCAGGCAACAGAATTCAAAAGACACAAAATGTATTGTTTTAAAAAAGTATTATATTTGGATACAATATAGAGACACAATCATATGTACATGAGTCAAAAATAGAAATTCACAAAATAGAAAAAAACAAAATAAGTATGCTTAGTTTGAGGGCTTAAGTGGGGCCTAAGTTATTTCTACTTAGTGTGTCATGGGTTTTATACCGAGGGAGATTTAACCCTGAGATGTGGAGGGATTGGAGAAAATGGCATTTAAAGACAATTCAATCGAACCAGAGGGATTTACTTTTTGATGCAGTGAAAGTTAATCCAACAAATGACAATATGCTCATGTTACATAAAAGAACCAATACGGTAAATTTGAAGTAAAAACCCACAACAGCCACCATCTTCATGATCACCGTTACTATAAATTATCAAGTGCATACCGTTTTCTTTTTCGTAATGTTTCTCGCATTAATATTCGTTTCTTTGGCAGGGAGAAGCTGTGGATGAAGTGAGGAAGTTTAAGAAGCACAGCGCTTATTACACGGCTCCATTTCCAATTCTCTCACAGGTACGCACACAAACACACACACACACAGACAGAATACAAAATGAGGCCGCAGAACAAAACAATCTCCCAGACAGGCTCAGTGATACAGAAAAAAAAAAGACTATTATGTGAGGTTTCAGGAGTATTCATGTTCTCCGTTATAAGGGAGAACCACACTCTTTCTGTCCGTTATAAAAGGGGACTTGCAGTGCGCAAACAGACACAGATCTACGTCACATTATATTGCGAGGCGAGGTGGAGAGCGGCTATTATCCCGCCGCCGAGTGGGGAGTGTAATTGCAGCGTTAGAGGACAATCAGGTACTGTTTGTGTGAGCTCTAATCTCTAAACTAAAACCCCGCCTGGCCTTTTGCACGGACGCCGAGCTGCAGGCTGCGGTCCGTCCTTTCATCCCAACGCTCCTGGGAAGCCTTTTGAGGTCGAATCTGTCAGAATTCAAACCATGGTTTGCTGGATGAACCTGAGGCAGCGACGATTCATCTATTAAACCGACACTGGGCTTCAAATCAATAGTGAGGTGCAGGAATGAGTCCCAGAACAGAATTTTAGCGCTTCTGGTTCCCACGTCTGGAAGTCAATGGTTTTGCGAATGAGTTTTTAGTTAGAATCTTGAAATGAAGAGAATTTTGTTCCATGACTTAAAATACTTCAGTAAATACCCCCAATAGATAATCCGGAAACAGCGGTCGCTAACAAGTGTCTAAATGAGACGACTAAACGCCATCACGCCCAACATTAGCTTAGCAGTGGTTACGTGAAGTAATGTGATCGTGCTTTGGTTCCTTCACAGTCTAACGTTAGCTTCTTACTTCAGAAATCATTCACGTGTGGAGATTTTTCTGCTGATCAACACCTGTAAGTATCGTAAACGTTTGTTTGAGAGATTATTTGCTGCAATAATCCAAAATCACATGGAGAATGCTTTTGTCGAGGGAACCAGGGAGATGCTACCTTCCTGGGTCGGCCTACAATAAATACCCCCGCACCTCTCATGATGAGTAGTTTGACTGTGATCTGTGATGAGAACGCTCGGGAAACGTTAGCGGTGGTGACACATTGTGCCGCTCCCCTTAATGAGATTCTGACGTTTATAAACACAGTTGGGAGTATTTTTTCACCGAGCATGATGTTAACCAAGCGGCACATTCAAAAACACACACACGGCGTAGTCAAATTCCACCAGTTCCTCTTCGACCTGAATACTTCATCTTTGTTGTGGCTATAAAGCACGCTATTAAAGGGGAGACGCTGGGTTGTATCCGACACAAAAGGCCTCTGCAGAGTTCAGTGCATGTTGCTGGAAAACGCACGATTACTAAAACGGTTTCACATGGTTTCATTTTTGCGGGAAAGTACAGTGCAGCGCTTATTCGGGATCGAGTGTAACACAACAAATCTTTATATCCTCCGGTATTCAGAAAAAAGATGGGAATTCACTTGCTTTCTTCTCCTGGTGCCCCCAAAACCATTTTGGTCCATTTAAAAAGCTCCTCCAGACTGAAAGCCTGTGCCTGGATTGTGTTCCTTTAAGTAAGAGATCAAGCCCTTAAAATGTGTGTTTATAAAAAGTCACAGCTGTCAAGGCTCCTATCCCTGAATATACTGAGAAGAGCACGAAGTTTTACATTCATAAAAAAGAAAAAACAGTGAGGAAAAAGTCCGTCTGGAGAGGAAGAAACTTTGGAATAACTAGCAGAGATATTTTCAGTGTTACGGATGAAAGGCACACGCATGCAAAACGATTGTCACCTTAAAAAAAAACGAAATATATCTTGCATATTGGACGTAAAAGGTGCCCGTTGAGGAGCAACACTACTTTAGACATTTAGAAAAGATGGGAATTCACTTGCTTTCTTCTCCTGGTGCCTTCAAAAAACATTGTGGTCCATTAAAAGCTGATGGCGACTGAAGGCCTGTGCCTGGATTCTGTGAAAAAACATCTGTTAACAGTGTCCGTCTGAAGAGGGAGAAACTTTGGAATAACTAGCAGACATACTTTCAGTGTTACGGAGGAAAGGCACACACATGCAAAACGATTGCCATCTTTAAAAAACTAAAGGAAATCCTGCATATTGGATAAAGGTGTCCCATGAGACGCCTGTTGAAGGTCAGCATTCAGATGGAAAGAACCGAAAAACATCACCCTCTCCTGTTGCTCGCAAAATACATCTTGGTCCATTAAAAGCTCCTCGTGACTGAAGGCCTGTGCCTCGATTCTGTAACGGATCAAACCCTCAAATCTATTTTCATAAAAAGGCACAGTTGTCATGGCTCTTATCCCTGAATATACTGATAAGAGCAAGTTCTTCTTGGAATAACTAGCTGAGATATTGTCAGTGTTATGGATGAAAGGCACACACATGCAAAACGATTGTCACCTTTACAAATAACAAAAAAGAAATCTTGCACATTGGGAGGTAAAAGATGCCCGTTGAGGAGCCAACCGGAGGTCAAAGGTTCCCCTCGTCCAGCATCTTGTTGACCCCGTTGCAGATCCTCTGCAGGTGTCCACGGTAAACCTCCGACGGGCCGTACAGATTGGCCAGGAAGTCGCAGTCGGCGAAGTGATTGAAGACGTGGTTGACCCGCGAGTGGCTCTTGGCCGTCAGGTGGCGTTTGATGGCCTGGTGCAGCAGCTCGCGGCAATCATTCAGAATGGCGCTCATTACGCGGCGGTCAAAGGTGAACTCGATCTGGTGGAAACTGACCGCCGTCATGGCCAGAGTGTGGACCTTCTTCCTGAGAGACGAGGGGAGAGAGAGAGGCTGTCAGGGCAGCAGAGGGAGGTAAAAATAGAAACTGCTGCCGAGTGACTTCTCGTCTAAAAAGTTTCACAACTCCCCTCTCTGAAGTAAAAGTAGAAGTACTCAGATCTTGTACTTGAGTAAAAGTAGAAGTACTCAGATATTGTACTTAAGTAAAAGTAGAAGTACTCAAATCTTGTACTTGAG